TACAATGATACCTATCATTGCATTCAAATTTAATCCCATCCATTACAGTAACCTACTGTACAGCAGAGCGACATCCACGACTTACCCGCTTTTTTTTCATTTGCACTCTATAGAGCAAAGAGTCAAAGAACCAACCATACAAATACAAAGAAATATAATTAGAGACTGTTTTACTGACATTCCGAATATATCCTTGATTATTGTATTTATTTATTTTTTATATGCATCTAMTACACTAATATCACAAGCCACGAGGTACTACTATTACTATAAATATATCAATACTATAACTACTATTACTTTTGGATCACAGGATATGTTCGATATGTATGACTATATATTATCAAAACTGTATGTTTCAGAGGTTATGTTAGATTCGAAYAAGTCAACCTATTAACTTATATTTTAATTTTATACTTGAATGTAGGTATCTTATATCTTATCTAAATAAAATATTTTTCTACTACGTGTGGATCACAGGAAATGCCTGATCTGTGAATTATTATTATTACCTATTAAAAATTGTAAGTTTCAGAGGTTAAGTTAGATTTGAATAAGTCATAACCTATTAGCTTATTATTGTTTTAATTTTTCATCTGAATATATGTATTTTAAATGTAGATACTATATTAATATACTATATACTATAGGTATCTTATCTAAATACTATGCCTTTAAATTATACTGAATAGGTCAATTTTCATCAGTATTAAACACTAGATATTAACGAAGTTAGTTTTGATTCATTTTTCACAAAACAAACAACACATGATTTTATTTAAAACTTATTTTCATTAAAAGTATTTTGGTACATTATCATTGTGAAAAATTATTTTCAATTGTTTAAAAATTCTGAAGAGTAAGCTCGATGGATATTTTCTATTATCAAGTGAACCCATGTCAATAATTCCTTCACTATAAACAAATTTACTTGTTGTATTGTTAAATATAGATATTAAATAAAACATTTTAATAATAATAATAATAAAAAAAAATTATTTAAATGTTCAACCAGTTCTTTAATGCATTTTGTAGTCAGTATACAATAAATGTAARCCTACAGGCTACAATAATTTTTTTAGATTGCCAAGACGGGGTTGGAGCTGCAGTAATTTCGAATAACGCGGAATTCATGTACAAACTCCCCAGCTCCTGCAGCTCAGGCTTCTTAGCAGATTAATTTGTCATAATACTTAAAGCACTCGAGATAATAGCTAGTCTATTACCGCCTAGAAGACACTATTATCTCCACTGACTCCTTCAGAGCTATCAAAAATATAAAAAAAACACATACAATCCAT